TAAAAACTAATATTCCTCAAATTTGCCTTCAGATATTCTTATTTAAATTTATTGTAATACAGATAGGTATCTTGGGGTATGTTTGGGCATAAGCTCGGTATGATATCGAGACCATAGACCTTTTTTTTATCTTTATAGGAAAACTTCCAAGGCACTTCATTGAAGCTGAATTTGCCTAATGCACCCGCAAACGTTTCAATAACGTTGTAGCCGACAGAGTCTGTGAGAAGATCTTGGAACGAGTTGAACAATATGTCAACGTAACGAGTAATATATTTTCCAAGGTTTTTGAATCCTCTTTCAGTACTGCAGCATGACAAGTGCACCTTAGCGCCAGAAACAACTTTGCCCGACTTCCTAAGTATGACTAGAGTTGAACTGAGATCAAACCCAAAACCAACTGGGAAGCTAGAAACTCAGCACAGGTTTCTAGATTTTAGAATCTCCAACTAAGCGTAACCAAGCCTAATTTATGCACTTGTCCTATCAGGTTTTAATCAATTCTGTTATCACTCTATCGTCTTATATAATAAGCTTATTCAAAGTAACGATTTGGCATGTATTGCACTAACCTAAAAATCGCAAGCTTCTTAGTGGGGCAATGGTATTGCATTACCGCTCCAAGACCAACCTATATTGAAATAACGGTCCCAAAGATACAATCGCTTTATCAAAGTTAATTTCTAAATCGTAAATGAGCAAGAGGGTCAAAATATGGTTCGATAATATTAAGCTAATTTCCCTATTCTGTCATATCCCTTCTGCTATTTTGGAATGAATATAAAGGTTCGACAAGACCAAAGTTGCGAAGGGTTAATATGGGATTAAATTATAATAGATTATCTAGTTACACAAAGAAATATAATGTTTTTTGCTAAGTCGCATGGTACCAACTTGAAAAAATTGGGGCTTAAAGATAGCCCAACTTGACAGGATCTGAATTGTTAGTTTAGCTGCTTACGAGGCAGTTGGGAGCAGTAATTCGATCAAAATAAGAGCTTGAAATATCATGTTTTACCGGCCGTATTATATACACCATTCTCTCCAATTATTCTGTATCGTGGTCCCCGAAGCAGTCGAGAGAAAACTGAGCTAAAGGAGAAGTTATACATTAATTCGATAGTAATATCTTAAAGAACTTTACGATCTTTAATTAGACACAATTACTCTATTGCTAAAACAAGCACAATGCCAATTTTCTGATTACTCATTTTGTATTGCAAATTTTTGCCCCCTTCGCACATTTTTAAAACCATATTCACTTGCAAATAATAATTTATTTAACTATATTTTTGTATTATTTATTATAAAGGCTACATGATCAAGTTCCTACTTATATTTTCTTAAGGTTTACTTCCTCTTTTCCAATTAAATTCATAGATAACTCTCAGTTTCCTTATGCTAAAGCTATTCGGCATACTACGACCATAGATTTAAGCCGAGAAATTTCGTTCTCCATTTGGGCTAAGAACAAATGAACGGAAGCAAAACGTGAGGCTGACTTATTGCGTCGAGAATTTCTTGATATCCGTGCCGCCTACTCGGATAAACTGGACCAGTTAACGGGACAACACAACTTGTGAAGCTTGCACTGGCGCCACCTGGAACTGTACATCTAGCGGAATTTGCCCCTCATAAGAAGATCGGAATTCTATTAAAAATTGTTTTGACCCGTTTTCGTCTGTTAAAATCCGTAAAACCCAATTTCGAATCTCGTTATAGGCTTCTGCACTTGAAAATAAAATAGCCTGGGGAGATTCCTACAACCAAGCAATATTAAAAATTTTAAACAAAAATACAGTATCATAACAATTTATCATTACAAAACTAGTCTTATGCCCTCACCTCATCGGTTTGCTGCTCAGAAAGCGAATCGGTTTTATAGCTAAGAGAATCCTCATGATTTTCTTCCTGTACCGGTTGATTCGTCAATAGCGCCTCTCCGACACTACGTCGCCGAGTTGCTTCGACTTGAGTCTGATGCCTCAGTTTACTCTGATTATGATGGGGTGAAATTTGTAGTTGTGTTTCGGAGGGCCGATGAGACTATATTATAAGAATGGGAAATAAGAGGATAATGCTCAGCAAGAATTAAAGCTGGATAAAAGATCGAGGCAAAGAGGATAAAGTCAAGAATACCTGGAGAAAGGTATTTTCTGCTTCGCTATGCGTCCGATTGAGAGGTCTAGACGATGCCGACGCCAGACTGTCAATAACGCTATGACTCTTGTCCGTTTGTCCTGTAAGACGGGCCAATTCCACCGAGTAGGCAGCACGGAGACCAGCATATTTGCGGCACCAAGAGTCAGCCTCACGTTGTGCCTCGGCCCATTTACGCTGGGCGCAAATGGATAGCGACATTTCGCGACTTAGGCTTTCTTCAGTGGCAGTAAATTGACGTGCCTTTTCATATTGAAAGTGGGAGTATAAATAAAAACTTAAAGAATATGAACAGGTACAAGAACATAATATTAAAATAAGGAAAGTAGAAAAGTGCAATTGAATAGGTGGTTAAAGTGAATGCGAATAAAAAGAGGCATGCGCGCATGTGCTGAAAAGAACGAATTAATAATAATTGACATATATAAAAATCCTGGAGCAAGAAAGAATACTCTTATCATATTAAAATCGACCCTTCTGAAAGTAAAGCTACAGTGATCTGAATGTACACCTGATTAAGTACCAGAAATAAACCAAGTCAGATGTAGTGTAGTGACAATATTGAAGAAAAAGTTCTTAAGAAGAGCCCAAAATATAACTATAACAAATAGATAATTGAAAAACTTTCTATCTATAGTTATTGTTCAATATCTTATGGTGCATTCTAAAATTATGATTTTGCAGACTAAAGTTATATATATATATATATATATAGGGGAGGCAAACAATTGATATTAGTCTACAATAAAGAATGGAATGGCCGTAACTCTTTGAAAAATAAGAATAGAATCCAATATAAGGCTGCAGAGCGCCAGCCAAAATCGCTTTCGCATTGCTGAAAAGCCCGGGGCATAAATTATTTGCAATATAGTCAATACAATATTAAGATCAACAGTCCAATTAAACATTGACTCAATTTTTTTCCTAGTGCTGAAGACCATAAGAATAATGAAAGACCATGAGGTTCAAAATATGACTGTCTGCTAGGAGAATGAAGTATGCTATAGCAAAAATCATTAAAAAATACGATCATGGACAAGAAGATTAAATAAATAATTTTTAGCTATATTTAAATAATTTTTCCAGAATTCACTTGCTCTGGATAATTTACACTAAGTAATAATAAACAAAGACCTCCAGACAGCGGATAAGTCAGGCTACTATGATAATGGATCAAGATCGAAAAAAATGAACCGAAATCGGTAGTAGTCGGATCTACGTATCTACTTGAAGCTAACCCAATCCGATTAATTGTGGCTAGGAATTAATGAAATCTATCAAGGATAATCCGAATTTAAGCAATGTTCTGCCGCATAAACGTATAAGTCGGACATAAAATGATGGATTTGGCCAGATTTAATATTGAAAATTTAAATCATCCAGAGTAGCACCAGACAAAAAGAGTGGTCGCCCTGGGCCATCAGCCATAATGGCAAGTAAATTCATTATTGTGTGACTCGGCTCATCATTTTAGAGGAAAAGTGAATTGACAATAGAATTTTCTTGGAATGAAGACTGTTGGACAGTGTAAAAATTTCATCGGTTCATCACACAACGATTACAATCAATCAATTCCGAGCTTCCGTCTGTAATATGACAGACATAATCACTACTAATACCTAATTTTTTAAATCTTAATAAGATATCCTATGATTTAGTCGGTTTCTTAATGCTTACCCTACATCCTTGCAGAGCTATAAAGTGGATGTGGTCATAGTAATTTCATTTTATAATTAAACAATTTTGATCCAGTAATGTGGGAGCGCAGCCCAACACTAGTTTAAAGTTGGTTCTATTCACGAATCACTTCCGACAAACTTTTCCTTCAAAATGAAAAGTCAAGGCAAACCATTAAAGGACTCTTCGAAACAACGTCTCTCTTTGTATAATGAAGTCATTCTTGTTTGGCTTGATACGAATTCAGAAGTTCATTGTTTATCATAACCTGTACGGAGTCTATTTTGAAGGCATCCTAAACAGGATAAATTAGGTCAGATAGTAGATTAGGGGAAAATAATATAATTTTCTTACTTCAGTAAAAACGTCCTGAAGGAGCGGTCTTGCGCAGCACTGAAAGTCAAGGTAAAAAATTGAAATAAGAAATAAACTTTAAACTAATATGATACCAAAAGTGCTAAAACTATTTATATGCTAGACAGCTATAATGAGTAAGTAAGATAAAATGACCAAGATATTGTGATATTTGATTTGGTTTCAGTCCCTTTTCGATGTATATAAATCGTCTGAACTCATTTTGCAACTTATTAGTGTTGTCAGGAGGACCTAATAGGACGCACCTAGTCCGAAGCCCTCTATTATAGTAGTTATAATAATTCCCATTGTTGGCCCGCAGACTTGATAGATTATCTGACGTTTCACCGGCATCGTCAGTGAGTCTTGTCACCCTTAGCTACAGCAAGTCATAGATAAGTTAAATCAAACCCTTAATCAACATTCTACCAAACGGTTGTGCTATCTCTTCTCCCTTTATCCTAGTAGATACACCTACTTTCTGCAATCATATCTCACTCCCGCCATAGCGCAAACTGTTTATATGACTCCTTTATGGACGACCATTCTGGCAAGTTTAGTATAGCGTTATCACACTTGTTTACTTTTGCCTCTCTCACCTCTCCTCAATTGGCTTATTCGACTAGAAATCATTTCTTATCTTATTAGTTGGCTGATTTGATTCGATCCTAGTCCAAGTATACACTTTACTCCAGGCGATATTTCTCAAGCCTTTAAGAGGGTGTATACTGTAGTCTCAACGGGATATCAGGTATTTGTATCACGGGTCATCTCCTTAATTCAACCCATGTACTTGAAGTAAACTTTAAACTATCTCTAGCCGCCTGTTGCACCTCGAATGGACTTCTAGTCAATTTGGACATATTGCCGAAAATAAATGTAAGAAAAAGTAAATTTTAAGATAAATCTACAATTAATAAATTAATTCTTGATTTATGAATATAATAAGCTAGGTCCATCATTGCAACTTAAGATGGGCAATCTCATCATTTAGCCGTTTGTGCAATCCAAATACCCAATCATGAGTGAAAACATAATAATTTTTTATGTAGCTCCTGTTTGGGCCTAATTAGATACATATAAAATTACCAAGATATAAATAAATATGCTTCAGGACGCATTAACTAATATTATTACATTATTTATTAAAAATAAATATTGAAATTAACTGGCTAAACGAGCCTGGTCAGTCTAGCTTAATATGCTAATAAATGGAACCCGAGGCTAGTAAGGAATAGCAAGACTGGAATGAAAGACGATCAAGTTTAGATATATATTGCGTAAATCCTTAATTAATTATTGCCTAACACAAGGATGTATTAAACATGTTTCTTAAGAGCTTTGAATTGAAAATAAAGAATAAATACAAGCAATCGGAAATTTTTTCATAAGCAAGCAGGAACAAATTTTCCAATCGAATTGCATTTATAGATGCTTATGCTACACAAAGAAAAAAATTAGCCGTAGTTATACTTTGGATAGGTTCAGTCAGCATGATTTACATCGCAAATAATAGACAATTTTATAGCAGGCATTGAGTTCAAATAAGAAGAGGAAGAAGCGTTCAAAATGAGACTTCACTGCCGTTCGTAATTTGGGAGCCGAGTATGTAAAAAACTAAAGCATCCAGATAGTAAATAAGTGATTTTGAGAGATTAAGTAAGCGTCTCAAAATAAAGTTGATATAGTAAGAAACTTAAAATAACAGATAACACGAAAAAATTAAAAAATAATTATATATGCCAAAGAACTGATGAAAAATGTAGATAAGAAAAACTTGGTTTCGATGAATCTCCTGAGGTAACATTGTTAGGGGGACCTTCATTTCGGATGAAAGTGCATGAAGAAGAGATTCGTTGATCGATCTCACCAGATGAGGACAGATGAATCTCGTTGTACTGCAGTCGTTTTGTTTTTATACGATATTCATGTTAACGCAGTCCTCCCTTATTTCGGGTTAGAACTTGCTGAGCTTGCGTCCATCATATGATGGATATCATCAGAGCTGGGTGTCATTCTTGTATAAGTCACAGGTTAACACTATAGCAAGAACATTATCCGGCTCTATCTTACTTCTTATATAGACTCGCTCGAGCCAAAAAATTACAAATTAAAAACCTAAATAAATCGATATAGAGTGGTTTGGTTAATTTTCTTTCATACTAATCCTGTCATTTTTGCTTGATTGTATAGGTACGTGTATTTGTGCGAGCCAATTTGTCTGCTCAGTGATGGTTGTAATTTCTTTCACATTAGTTCAAAAGGTTAGAGTAAGCTCATCAACCAAACCAGACATGTCAGATTACGCAATCCCAGTCTTGCCTTTCCTTGGAGGGTTAAACGTTAATGACCCTTGACTAAAAGGTTAGGACAAGTGGTTT